GTCAGGGCCAGAGGAAACTCGGGCTACCCTAATTTATTGAACGCTTGGTATATGTAAATCCATCATCGTAATTCATTCTAATATGAATCCGCACTCGTGTATCATTATAATCTGTATCCGCCCTCGTGTATCATTATAATATGTATCCGCCCTCGTGTATCATTATAATATGTATCCACCCTCATGTATCATTATAATATGTATCCACCCTCTTGTATCATTATAATTTGTATCCACCTTCACGTATCACTATTATCTGTATCCGCCCTCTTGTATCATTATAATCTGTATCCACCCTCATGTATCATAATAATTTGTATCCACCCTCACGTATCATTATAATATGTATCCACCCTCACGTATCATTATAATTTGTATCCACCCTCATGTATCACTATTATCTATATCCACCCTCGTGTATCATTATTATCTGTATCCGCCCTCGTGTATCATTATAATTTGTATCCACCTTCACGTATCATTATAATATGTATCCACCCTCACGTATCATTATAATATGTATCCACCCTCACGTATCATTATAATATGTATCCACCCTCATGTATCATTATAATCTGTATCCACCCTCGTGTATCACTATTATCTGTATCCGTCCACGTGTATCATTATAATCTGTATCCGCCCTCGTGTATCATTATAATATGTATACACCATCATGTATCATTATAATATGTATCCACCCTCATGTATCATTATAATCTGTATCCGCCCTCGTGTATAATTATAATTTGTATCCACCTTCACGTATCATTATAATATGTATCCTCCCTCACGTATCATTATAATATGTATCCACCCGCACGTATCATTATAATTTGTATCCACCCTCATGTATCACTATTATCTATATCCACCCTCGTGTATCATTATTATCTGTATCCGCCCTCGTGTATCATTATAATTTGTATCCACCTTCCCGTATCATTATAATATGTATCCACCCTCATGTATCATTAGAATATGTATCAACCCTCACGTATCATTATAATTTGTATCCACCCTCATGTATCACTATTATCTATATCCGCCCTCGTGTATCATTATAATCTGTATCAGTCCTCGTGTATCATGATAATCTGTATCCGTCCTCGTGTATCATTATAAGCTGTATCAGCCGTCGTGTATCATTATAATATGTATCCGCCCTCGTGTATTGCGCTCCTAACTTTTTTGCGGCAGTCTTCCTGCATTTAAAACAAATGAGACTGGCCTCGACGATGAATTTTCCCGCATGTTCGGTAATATCTTTTGGAGAGGGCTTCATATAAGTTTAATAACTTGTGCCCAATCCTTTTGTATCAATAAAATATGTTTAAACTAATATCTTTTCGATAATAACACTTCATTTCTTTTTGCTTTGTACCAATCCCATATATTTTGTATTTCGGCATCGTTTGTTTGCGTTAAGATAATAAATAAAAAATACTAGTGCCAATTGGACGGTAAAACAATTCAAAAATATCATTTGAAATTATGTCTCAACTACAAAGCGTAGCTGTACTGTACACGCATACAGGGATTTGTTGACATGATTCCATAGAAGATAAATCAATTGGTATGTTATTAAAATATCAATACAATGTTCTATTGATTTGAAAAATATTTATCACTTAATTAAGGAAAATGATCACATGCCTAAATATTAAAGAAAAGTAAAACAAACAAAAAAGTGAATCTGAATGTGGATTCGAACCTACACTGTTCACATTTTCTGGTCACAAGCTAACTGCGTTAATCGGACATAGACAAAAAGGGAAATACAAACTGCTTTAACCCAAGAAACATCTGTCGCAGTTTTAAAAACTTGATCAACCCAGTTTTTCATTATTTTGAGCACTTTCCCAAAGGAGGACAACTTTTCCGTCATACAATTTGTTTTTGCATATTCAAAAGTTGGTCCTCGGATGGGAAAGTATTGAAAGTATTTTTTTTAAGTCTGGGAAACTCCTTCACTTTCATAGATATAGTGAATATGGCTATATTTTCAGTATTATATCAACAATACCGAATATCTCAACAGTTCAAAAATTCATATTCAATTGGTTTTATATCTATTCCATGCATTTTTGCTACTAAAGATTATTTACTCATCAATATTTTTTTCCCGTTTTCAAAAATGCCGACTTAGGGAAATACGGGCAGTTTTCCGCCATACCTCTTTAACGGTTGTATTTTTTTTTTAAATTCCTGACGTTGAAAGATTTTATTGGTAGCCAACTATGAAAAATAGACTCGTTTTAGAACTAGGTAAATTAACGTGTCAAAAATGGAAATTTTCTCATAAGTAATGAAATTTCACATACTTTTCTGCTTAAATCTTCCATAAAAAGAACAATTCTTTCTTGAAATAGTGAAATATTCGGTATCAAAATAACAGTTGGAATATGTTGCACACGATGATGATATAATTTTATAGTAATTGTGTCATTTAAGTGCTCTAGAAGGAATTGTATTACCGCACCTTTAACACCTAGACAGGTGTTAGTCAATGAGGTCCAATTATCATAAAATGAATTCTGAAACTAATTGTTTCTGATTTAAGCTTCCTAAACACATATTGGAGGAAATAAAGATGATATATACCCATAACATTTTGGATTTATGTTGTCCAAGCGGGGCCGACGCCAAGGTTAAATCTCCATAGGCGTTGGCCCTACCTTTCATTCAACGTGTGTGCTTATAATATGTGGGACTTTTTTTACAAACTGTACTATAGAAACACGTCTCGTTAGAAAATGAGGTTTCATATGAGATTTATGAAACGAGTCTAAGAATTTTTCAATTTAGCGAGGCTCTGGCGAGCTAAAATGAAAAATTCGTGACGAGTTTCATAAATTTCATATGAAATGAAAACGAGTGTAAGATCCTTTTTATCGCATAATCGAGATTTGTGGCATTATTCGTGTAAAACAACAATTTTCATGAAACCTTGAAATGTAACAAGCCGCCATTTTGACTCCAGTGCGTAAGTCTGTGACGTAATGTTTCTGTCCTAGGCGTGACGTCACAATTGAAACTTACTTACAACCAATCATAGGTCTATTAGGTCATAAAAAGAGCTCGCTGCGCTCGCTATTACATGAGTTAATACGCAAAAAAATATGACATCGGTATATATACTGGATAGCACAGTACATTGTGTGATAAATGTTATGTATATATCATAACGTTGTACACTTATTTTAAAGTATTTGAAACCTTTGAAATGTTTCACTTGAATTAGCTTGAAAGACGGTCACCTGTACCATTTCTAAGATCAGATCAATGTTGAGCGGTGTTGATAAAAAAGGGGTTATTTTCATCACTTTTCGTACAACATTGTATTCCGATAAAAGAATCTACAGTAATATTTTGTAAACTTATGACATTTGAACAGAAATGCACAACTTGGTTTGTGTATTACGTGAACTCAGTATTAACATAAGTAGTTATGCTCTCCGAGTGTTTTGTCTCGTCTGTGTATTTATTAGTATTTTCGATATTTGTCAATGTTATGAGAAAGTATATATATATATATATATATATCATGTATATGTGTTACACTGATGAGTCGCAAGACTCAAAGTTAATAAAGAACTTGAACTTGAACTTGAGTATAACTCGGCGTTCGGACACTACGGTAATTGTGTGTTCTCGTTAAAAGCTATGTATTGCTTTCATCTCTCATATACCGTGGTAATATGGGACTTTAACACACTCATGTATAATAAGTTTGATTGAATGACAGCGTATCAACCACTTTCTATCGTAACCGGAACTGAAAAACTGGGGAAAACTCCTCCCACGCTTAGAACAGCGTCGTGTTTTTAAGAGAAAATGTGACTCACTGGAAACTGAGATCGTGGACGTTTTCTCCGAAAAGCTATCTTATAATTGATTTTAGATTGGTGATTAAATAATAGATAACAGTCTTTATTCATACTTGATGACGAAGTTGAGTCCACGACTCGTCTCACATTTGGTCAAGTAGCTATAAAATATACAATAATTTACAAAATATACATAAAACAGAGAAATATAACAATAAAACATGATGAAATGTAATTGTATAAAACATCCATTACAGTACTTAAGATAAGTCCATACAAAAGTCTTTGCACTCTGTTTAAAAGACAATGATGAGGGTGCATTTCAAACATGTTCAGGTAAAATATTCCATGTAAATGGTCCCTGGTAGGTGAAAGATTTCTTAAACAATTTTTTTGGTTTAAATGAAGGTAGGTAAAACAAGTTATTAGACAAATATCTAGTAACTCTTGACTGGACATCCGTAGTGTATTTAAAATGGTTAAGATATTGCGGAGCCAATCCATGAAAAACTTTGTACATTAAAACTGACTGATTGTGCAATAAACGTTTTGAAATAGGTAGCCATTTAACTTCTTATATATGTCACTGGATGGAGTATTAAAATCACAGTTCAAGATAACCCTTGCTGGAGTTTATCAGGTTTTGTTGTATTTACCTGAGAGGTGTTCCCCCAGTTGTTTGCACAATCGTTAAAATGTGGATTTACAAAACAGTTGTAATTTGTTAAACAGGAAGACTGACTTAAGAACAGTCTCCAACGTTTCATTTGAAAAATGTAAAAAAAGAGAGAAAAAACAGCTTTTTGCGTACAAGCAGACATCGACAGGGATACCAAGTCAGTCACTGATTCAGGTTAACGAGCTTGACAAAAATCACTTTGTATCTTCAGTGTGTTGACGAAATACATTATTTCCACTCATGTTTTTTATTACACTGACATAATCGGCATAATTTTTTTTAAACAATTTATTCATATGTTGTATCAGTGTAAACACCTGTGTGTGTTCTAGCTCCCCTTCTTTCCCTCTCGCACCCCAATTCCGCTTACCTGTTTGGTATTGTCATGGAATATTATAATATGGGCAGTGGGGATTGTATCTTTATGACGTTCAACATAAAGTTGCTTTCAATTATCTAAACATGCGAAAACACATTTTCTATTTTCACAGAATACGAACTCGCACGTGAGATGCCAAGTGCGAGCATGATGTCAGCCAGAAATTTGCCTCCGCCTCTCCCCGCCCGGAAAAATCTTCCACCAGTCCGTAAGGGTGTACCAGTTAGCCGTGCTGTCTCTTCTGCCGTTGGAAGGCCATTACCTGCAACACCACCGGCCGCGTCACCACAGAAAAACATGCAAGCATTGCCAAATAGAAATAAAAAATCACCTGTAATAAATTATGAGAACCACGAACTCGGGATGTCAAAAATTAAATCTTTGCCAGCAGGGCTGAGTAATCTGAATGAAGAAACGCCCCCACCCCCTCCCCCGGGTCGCCCACCAAAGCGTAGTATGTCCGTTCAAGGGTCAATGACGCCGACTCGTTCGACTTCCAAACCCACGGCCGGTCTTGCCCTACCTCCGGCTTTACCAAGTCGGGGACCGCCACGGAGACCTTCCACCTCGTCACCCGGGAATGACACATGTAAGTAATCTTGATTGGAAAGGCAAACGTTTACATCCAACTTTAACTAAAATGTAAAAAGACACAAAAACAATACAACACAAAATATAAGTAGGCAAAACTAACCATTTTATAGTGGTGAGGTACTGGAAATATGACCTTGGGTTTCATCCCTACCCCTATACTTGTCTTCACCACCGTACCTCAATTTCGATCTCTACCCCAGTTAGCACAGGTTACACCCGTGAAAAACACGTTACTTTGGAGATACAGAATCAAATAATCATCGCCTCCAAAAAAAATCAACAATTCCTGTTACCATCCCCCACCTTCCTGTTACCGTCCCCACCTTCCTGTTATCGTCCCCACCTTCCTGTTACCGTCCCCGCCTTCCTGTTATCGTCCCCACCTTCCTGTTACCGTCCCAACCTTCCTGTTACCGTCCCCACCTTCCTGTTATCGTCCCCACCTTCCTGTTACCGTCCCCACCTTCATGTTACCGTCCCCACCTTCCTGTACATGTTTCCCACTTTCCTGTTACCGTCCCCACCTTCCTGTACATGTTTCCCACTTTCCTGTTACCGTCCCCACCTTCCTGTTATCGTCTCAACCGTCCTGTTATCGTCCCAACCGTCCTGTTACCGTTCCCACCTTCCTGTAAATGTTTCCCACCTTCCTGTTACCGTCCCCACCTTCCTGTTACCGTCCCCACCTTCCTGTTACCGTCCCCACCTTCCTGTTACCGTCCCCACCTTCCTGTTACCGTCCCCACCTTCCTGTTACCGTCCCCACCTTCCTGTTACCGTCCCCACCTTCCTGTTACCGTCCCCACCTTCCTGTTACCGTCCCCACCTTCCTGTTACCGTCCCTACCTTCCTGTTACCGTCCCCACCTTCCTGTTACCGTCCCCACCTTCCTGTTACCGTCCCCACATTCCTGTTACCGTCCCCACCTTCCTGTTACCGTCCCCCCTTCATATTACCGTCCCCATCGTCCTGTTACCGTCCTCTCCTTCCTGTTACCGTTCCCACCTTCCTGTTACCGTCCCCACCTTCCTGTTACCGTCCCCACCTTCCTGTTACCGTCCCCACATTCCTGTTACCGTCCCCACCTTCCTGTTACCGTCCCCCCTTCATATTACCGTCCCCATCGTCCTGTTACCGTCCTCTCCTTCCTGTTACCGTCCCCACCTTCCTGTTACCGTCCCCACCTTCCTGTTACCGTCCCCACCTTCCTGTTACCGTCCCCACCTTCCTGTTACCGTCCCCACCTTCCTGTTACCGTCCCCACCTTCCTGTTACCGTCCCCACCTTCCTGTTACCGTCCCCACCTTCCTGTTACCGTCCCCACCTTCCTGTTACCGTCCCCACCTTCCTGTTACCGTCCCCACCTTCCTGTTACCGTCCCCACCTTCCTGTTACCGTCCCCACCTTCCTGTTACCGTCCCCACCTTCCTGTTACCGTCCCCACCTTCCTGTTACCGTCCCCACCTTCCTGTTACCGTCCCCACCTTCCTGTTACCGTCCCCACCTTCCTGTTACCGTCCCCACCTTCCTGTTACCGTCCCCACCTTCCTGTTACCGTCCCCACCTTCCTGTTACCGTCCCCACCTTCCTGTTACCGTCCCCACCTTCCTGTTACCGTCCCCACCTTCCTGTTACCGTCCCCACCTTCCTGTTACCGTCCCCACCTTCATGTTACCGTCCCCACCTTCTTGTTACCGTCCCCACCTTCTTGTTACCGTCCCCACCTTCTTGTTACCGTCCCCACCTTCTTGTTACCGTCCCCACCTTCTTGTTACCGTCCCCACCTTCTTGTTACCGTCCCCACCTTCTTGTTACCGTCCCCACCTTCTTGTTACCGTCCCCACCTTCTTGTTACCGTCCCCACCTTCTTGTTACCGTCCCCACCTTCTTGTTACCGTCCCCACCTTCTTGTTACCGTCCCCACCTTCTTGTTACCGTCCCCACCTTCATGTTACCGTCCCCACCTTCTTGTTACCGTCCCCACCTTCTTGTTACCGTCCCCACCTTCTTGTTACCGTCCCCACCTTCTTGTTACCGTCCCCACCTTCATGTTACCGTCCCCACCTTCTTGTTACCGTCCCCACCTTCTTGTTACCGTCCCCACCTTCTTGTTACCGTCCCCACCTTCTTGTTACCGTCCCCACCTTCCTGTTACCGTCCCCACCTTCATGTTACCGTCCCCACCTTCATGTTACCGTCCCCACCTTCATGTTACCGTCCCCACCTTCTTGTTACCGTCCCCACCTTCTTGTTACCGTCCCCACCTTCTTGTTACCGTCCCCACCTTCTTGTTACCGTCCCCACCTTCTTGTTACCGTCCCCACCTTCTTGTTACCGTCCCCACCTTCTTGTTACCGTCCCCACCTTCTTGTTACCGTCCCCACCTTCTTGTTACCGTCCCCACCTTCTTGTTACCGTCCCCACCTTCATGTTACCGTCCCCACCTTCCTGTTACCGTCCCCACCTTCATGTTACCGTCCCCACCTTATTGTTACCGTCCCCACCTTCATGTTACCGTCCCCACCTTCTTGTTACCGTCCCCACCTTCTTGTTACCGTCCCCACCTTCATGTACATGTTTAACCTATGTACCAACAAATGTCTCCCCAAAAGGTTGAATTCCAACCACGACAGTATATAACGCTCCTCTATGGCCACGGAGAAATGTCACTGTGTTCACCACGTTTTGACAAGTAGTATTAACACCTCACTCGAGACATTTGATAAGATTCTGAACTTAACTACCGGTAACTTTATATGTAGCACAGGGACATGCTAATTTGTTACGGCTGTATTTGGACCTAAACCAAACTGTTCAGAGTAATTTGACATTTTTTGGGGTTACTATCAACCTTAGGTAAAATGCCACCCCAATGATGATATACCGAACGTTGATCTAAACCCCTAAAACACGAACGCCTGAGTTTAGGTCCAAGAATTCCTGTAACAAAGTCTCAGGTCCCTGTGATAGGTATAGCAGTGGCGTCATACGAGAGTTAACATGATATACCAAACCCTATACTTTATTTAGTAATGTAAGGGAAAGCGATTTAGTCTCTCTTGTCAACCCTATTAAAATATTAATGTTAAATAAAGTATGCATAATAGCCGCTCACCCTATTTTTGATTTGATGTACATGTGTTAATGAATAAACTGGATTTCTAGAACCATAGTATATTGTGATATATTTGAAATATTGCAACATGATAATTTTTGCTGGCGATACACATACACATATAGCTACTTAAATATTACTGATGATTGTCGTGACTGTCAGCTGGTCGTAATCACAGGGATTACGACCAGTTGTAACTGTAACAAATTATCCGGTTCCTTTGGTCGTAATCGCCATAGACGATGATTTTGTGTTTGCCCTTTTCAGTCCATGATCTCGAATCAAGATTTCCTTTTCACGATGAAAGAGACTTTCCGCCACCTGAGCCGTATGTCGGAGGGAGCAAATCGTATGCCAGTCAATTACACAAGGAGCCTAAAAAAAGGGGTGCGTCTTTTTCTGTAATACATCGAACAAATTGAACAATTCTATATTTTTTGTATATTTTATGGTTTTTGCCAGCTTTTCATCACTTTTTCGTGTATAATCATTCTCACTCGAAATATATGTATATTTATGCGACGCATCTTTTGAAATTCACGTCATAACGTCACGTTTTTTAACATTTTTGTTTGGTTCACAACTCATAATTAAATATGATATCACCTTTCCAAACACACTTTCCAATGCCATTTTCTTATTGTAGGTTCAAGAAAAAGGACAACGCCGGAACTGTCTCCTGTAGGTGAAACTTAATGTACATAAATTTTAAACCTATCGCGCGAGTTACCATGGAAACGGGGCGTTTCAAGTGAATACGGCATGTTGTGCAGTCTAAAAATGGACGTGATTGGTACACGTTTATGAAACCATGTGTATTTTTTTCAGAAAAGAATATCGGGACCGAACAAGGCCGAGTGGTTTTTGGCATCCTCGATATCCAGGCGTTACGCTCAACTATCGCTGTCTGTAGAGAGCGTAAGTGAGCGTAACTTTGCCAGTTTGATATTTTGGTATTCCCGCGCTTACTTACCACAGCACGCTAAATACTCGCCATATTTGGGATAGCCCTTGACTGATTGTTTATAATTTATTTCAATTGATATTCAATTAATTGTGTATTGTGAAGTATCTGGAAAAGAATGGAGTGATTTTGCTCTCTGCACCAGAGGTAGAGTAGAGAGATAATTTCGAACAATTCATATGCTCTGTACCTTTTCCGTGTTTGCGCGTGCTGCTATGTTGATGCTGTTTCCGCCAATAACCAACAATTTGAAGTAGAAACAAACAATAACAGTCGGACAACGAGCTGTAATGATTAAGAACTTCTGCGATCATTACACGCTTGAGACATGGTCCTACGGTTTTCATTCCTATCTGGAAAATGGTCGCAGTGTGGATGGAGCGACGTACGTGTCTCTATCCCTAAACAGGATGTGACGTTCCATATATAGAGATGGCGCCTTACAGTTGTCCCTCAGTGGTCCAATCACATCGAGGAAATCGAGAAACAACAAAGTCACGCCCGCCGGTATTCAAATTCGTTAATGTGGATTTTCAACGTATTGTGGAGAAGTTGGTACCCATGAGGTATAAGTACACAGTATAAATGTTAAACTGTTTTTTCCGGATTATTGTAAATGACAAGTGGTTGAATGTGATGCAGTTTTTTGTTGTTTTTTATGAATGTGTTGTTTACTACTTCTTTCAGATTTTTGTTGAACAAATAACTGAGTTACTAATCCGACTTATTTAGACATTAATCAAGGATTACAATTTTTAAGAAAATGTTTTTTTTTTACTTTTGCCTCACTTAAGCTTTTAACATAAATTAGTAAATCGTTTGAGATTAAAGTTAATAACTAATTTCTAATTTTCCGATTCGTAAATGGATATTTATTCGCAGCAAGAATTACCAGAGTAAAATATATCCCCATAGAGGGAAACAATTATTACTGTACCGGAATACCGTTAAAGTACTTGTTTTGTCTATTGATTGTGATGAACCACTTATTTCATGGAAAGTTCGACACTTATACGGAAAATACAAGTTTAAGTGCCGGAATGAAGTACTTGATATCTGCATGTTGTTGTAAATATTGTACATTTTACTGTTGACCACTTGTTAGAAAAGTCCTTGGTATCAACCTGAAATGAAATCTTTTTTGTGTTATGTCACCTGAGACAAAGTCTCAAGTGACCTATAGCGATCGCCTTTTGTCCGGCGTCGTAGGTCGTGCGTCGTGCGTCGTCCGTCCGTAAACAATGTATATTTTTGACTTCTTCTCCAAAACCCCTGAACCAATTTCAATGAAATTTTGCAGAAATCTTTCAAGGCCAAAAGATAATCAAAATTGTGAATTATATGGTCCCCAGCCCCCAGGGGCCTGAGAGGCGGGCCAAAGAGGGTCAAATTGACTAAAACTTCAAAAAATCTTCTTCTCAAGATCAAGATATAGTAGAATCAAATTATCTTCATAGATTGAAGGGTCTTAAGGTGCTTTACTAAAATTGTGAATTTCATGACCCTTGTGTCTCACGTTTCCACCTGGGGAGGGGGTAAACTTTACTATAGTTTATATAGGGAACTCACATTTTGGACCAACATTTGTTCAATTTCCATTTGAAGTAATTCAATTTGGGTTAGCATTATCAGTATTGGATAGCAGTTTAATGATATGCACATATAAGCCCTTACTGACCCCAGGGGCTGATCGGTGGGGCCAAAAAGGGTCGAATTGGCTGAAATTTCAAAAAATCTTCTTCTCAGACTAAACTCTCTATAATTACATGTTGTTGTTTGTTATGCATGGAGAAGCTGGGACGAAGCAATGTTTTTGTTGTGTGTTTAAATATAGACTAAGCGTTGGACACAATTCCTGAACGCCAGCTGTTCCGTCTTATAATTTTTCACGGCAAATATTTAAAGTTTAAATCCCATCAGTCAGGCAGCAAGCTATGTAATACTACAATAGTCGATAAAAAAACCCTAGTAAGACTTTTGATGATTGAAAATGGCCGTTTTTTTTAAAACGACATAACCTCCTGAGAAGGTGTACCATAAACTGCATTTTATAATCAAATACAACGCCATTCTCCTTATGACCATAGCCTAGTAGGTGAGGGCTTAAACATGGTAAAGCTCAGGAGATCAAACAGGGTTATATATGTGGTGCAATAAGATTTCGAGGAACCGGGAAAGCTTTAAGAGTAGCGAAATGTATGGAGTTAGCGACATAACATCGAGTATATATCGAGAAAATTTAAATTACTTTATAAGGCCTGTCATAGTGTAGTGGAGTTTCTTTATAAGGCCATTCAAATTGTAATGAATTTCTTAACAAGTCCATTCATAGTGTAGTGGTGATTCTATAAGGACATTCATAGTATAATTAAATTCTTATAATGACTTTCAAAGTGTAATGGAGTTTCTATATAAGGCCTTTCACAGTGTAATGGAGTTTCTTTATAAGGCCATTCAAAGTATAATGGAGTTTCTTTATTAGGACATTCAGTGTAATGGAGTTTCTTTATAAGGCCCATCATAGTGTAGCGGAGTTTCTTTATTAGGACATTCAGTGTAATGGAATTTCTTAATAAGGCCTTTCTTTGTGTAATGAAGTTTCTTTTTTTGACATTGGACGTTGGTCGACGTTCTTCAGATTGAAGTCCGTCAGATACCATTTTTGTAATAACTGGAAGTTATAAAGGTTGAACATTTGTCAGTGTATCAGGGTTTCTTTACGATGACATTCGGAGCTTTAAGTTCGACACGTCATATTTCTGTTAATGATTTTTCGCCGCTAGTGACGGCTCACAGGGACATGTCTACTTTATACTGTGACAACCGTGTATATATTTTCAGTTATACAGCATGTGCCATGTCCCTGTGTGACGTATGGTCTACAGTATTATACTCTGGGGGAGTTAGTCTCGTGGAAAACTTATTTGTACATGATAGCGTAACTAGGATGCAAGAACTTTATGTATTAAAATGTAATACCAACACCGGAACCTGTGTTTATCTTCTGATTTGTTTATAGAGAAATCAACAGCATTAGGGTCGGGCAGTATTAACCTACTGAGAATGTTACACACTTGATATAGAGTAACATCAAAGTAATTTGTAATTATCATATTTGAGATCTTAGATATTTCCCTGTGACTGATCTTTTGAAGAGGCGGTCGTCTCGGATCACTGTCGTTTTAAAGTGAACAGGACTGGAGAATGATGGAGAAACAAGGAAATATATATCCTACTCTGTAGGCCGACAATAACTGTAGTGTTGAGCCAGAGGATCAAGTTCGGGTTTTACTCGAGCTGTTGAACTATAAGTTATGTTTGACCTCCGTGTACTTCACCATAAGTAAACCAACACAATCCATCTCTTCCTGAAACCCAATAATAAGACAACGCCATTGATAGCTTTATTTCATGTCATTTTTATTAATGTGAATGAAATGCGAGTATATCATTTGTTCATCTTTCTACAACATGGTAAGAAGAGGTGGAAAGGCGAGGAGGGAAGTTATTATCTTTCAATGTACAGTTTGAAATAAATAATATACTTAAACAGTTAATTCCTTGATAGTAGTGGAACAGATGTCGAGGCTGGAATGGCGACAGTGGTTCTACACCAGGCAAGCACTACTGCTCAAACATAGTTTATACTACTGCAGGGCAAGTCACGGGGAAAGGCATCCAGGAAACTGGGCATCAAACATAGCAATACTTTGTACTTGTATACTGTACAATTAAAATTTGATTTTATACACGTCCTGCCTGCCGAGAAAGAAAATCTTCCCCATACAGGAGCAATGTGTTTTTGTTTAGAGTGAACCCTACAGGCACGTTATACAGATCACTGCAGGGTATGCCACAAGTTACTTAATTTCTTGCCATCACATCTCAGCACCACTACTTCAATGATTGGCAGGTAACTATAATCAATCTAGGATTAATTTCACGGACTTTTTTTTTTATACAATTCATAAATCACTGCCTTGTATACTTCACACACACTCCCGCGCAAACTCCCAGAACAACAGTGTAGGGGGTCAACAATGTACATAGTTTATAGCCACCTATGTCTAAAACATTCGTCAGCTTTTAATTGTCCATCGTGTACATAGCTGTGCATGTATTTGTGGTCAAGTGTCAAAGCTCATCACTTACTCTCTCACTTAATCTCATATAGCTGGGAAGGAAAACGTAAACATTCAACAAAGCGCACTGCAACATGCTCAATATCATTCAACCTTGATTTACGACCTAAAAGCAAAACAACCACTTCATGAATACATCCTCATCATTCCTCAATTTGACAGCATATCCACACAAATCACAAATGTTCTCGCTATAGGAAATGATAAATGTACAAGTACTGCAGTACTACCTAAAGAAAACGGATTTGGGCAAGGAAACAAGTGCTGAGACAGGAACGTGGCAAGAAATTCAAACCTCAGTTGTTAATTTCAGCAATTAATCATTTAAAATTATTGCAAAAAATACATACAATACGGACAACTATGAGATCTGGCACATCTTGGTGTGTGTATGGACAGATGGTGAGCAAGTCATTTACAGTCCTGCAATACCTAACTACTGACCGACAGCTGGACACGATGTGTAGTAATATAAAGTAACTTCTCTCACAGACTGCTGGGTATTAGTTATAGTACAAAGGTAGGTAGCTTCTTATGGACAGGTGGACAGCAAGTCATTTTGAATATCTCATCTGACCACGATTATTGACTACACAAATACTGTACCCAGTTGTTTGTGCGTTTTACATATGGGTATAGATGGACATGCAAGCAAAGTTTTGTAATTGCATGAGAATAGGATATAAAAAAATAACAGAACTAATATCAAATTACTCTTTCTTTTAAAATACAATGAAATGTGAAACTTACAGGATAATATTAGTTATTATTGCTGTATAATTCTATAAAAAAATAAATAGCAAAATTGTAATTTCAGATGAATTTTTTTTATTATTATTATTAACTCATTCACCCCTGAAGACACATTTGAACTCTTCCAATTCAAAGGTTGGAAATGTTTATTATGAACTTTCAGGGGTGAATGAGTTAAGAATGGACTATAACATGTATCCCCTTGCACGACCAGAGTTATCTCCCATCACAATGCATTAAGAACCCTGCTAAGGGCACGAAGCAGTCTATAGCTAATACCTTTTTTGGATGGACCAGCTTAAAATATTGTACAAAAAAATAAATTAACAGCACTTTACAAATACATTATGCATGCTACATATTTTCTTTCTAAAAGAAAAATCAAGTTTACTTTGAAAAATGGCACTACCTTCAAAATGATTTGAAAAACTTATTGCATACACAGCTAATTTAACTTGATATAAGATGCATAGTTATGTGCACATTTTTACCAGCATACTAATTTATGGTATTTTTGTGATTCCTGAATGTGTCGAGAACAACCGTACAGTTTACATCTGACAGTAACACTGTCCTATTTGTCAACGCTACAACTAATCACAAAGTTTCTTCACACAATCAAAAAAAACAGGTCCTGAGAATGTTACAGGAAAACTGAAGATATGTTTCATCACAGATTATATAGCAGGCGTCCATTCCTCCGAGAGCATGTTGATCAATTGTCTGTCTCCTTAATTCTGTACATTTGAACGGACAGCATCTTTCACCCTCCAAGGTAATGAATCGGTTCACGATCAAGCTTTTATTTCTATCCAGTAAAACAGTTAACTTATACTGATCATGCTGAAATACATTTCAAACACCATGTTTTCATTGTAACCCTATCTACAATGCCGTTTAGAGTGGACCCTCCTGGCCTTATTGCTATAGTTGATCTATTAGGGCCTACTAGACACTAGCAATAACACTGGCAGTCTCCCTAAGTTTGACATGCTGTTATACTCAATCAGTTATAAAGTATTGAATCAGTTACATTTAAAGTAGATCCAATAATATGAACGACAGATTATTTACACATAAAGATAACTCAATTGATCATATTTTTTCAACATTTGATTTTTGAACAGTGAATATTTTGACAAATTGGGCTAAGTATTTTTCTCAGTATGGTTTTAAAAACAAATACCTCAATATCTTTCCTCTTTCATAAGATTGCTATGAAAAAAAGCTACAGCAAGAAAGTTAAGCATCTTTTTATTGCAAATTATGTAAAATTGCACATATTGTTTAGATTAACACTGGGAGGACATAAAACCCCACCAGTCTGGCCAATGTTGTACATATTGTTTAGATTTACACTGGGAAGATAGAAAACCCCACCAGTCTGGCCAATGTTGTACATATTGTTTAGATTAACACTGGGAGGATATAAAACCCCACCAGCCTGGCCAATGTTGTACATATTGTTTAGATTAACACTGGGAGGATATAAAACCCCACCAGTCTGGCCAATGTTGTACATATTGTTTAGATTAACACTGGGAGGATATAAAACCCCACCAGTCTGGCCAATGTTGTACGTTTGTGACATCATAATCAATTCTTCCTTGTGATTGTCACACTAGGTTATCAATACATATCATAAATGTATCATTACAAATTATAACAGCCTGAGTATACGGTAACAAAAAACATGGCTTACTTCCTCAATGGCCGAAAGCTAGAATTGTTGTAAAAACTCGTTATAATGTCCATTGTTCCATTTTCCATCTCGGGTACCACCAACATATTTTGATGTCCTTTTTTCTGGTTTTCTTACAAAGAATTATTTTATACATTTCCCTCTATTTACCGCCAAATCCCTATATAACGCCAAATTTTCTCTGGACAAATGGTGACAGTATAACAAGGTTTTTACTTTAATTGTTTCACACGAGTACCAAGTCTATACCAATACCAATACCAAAACAGGTACAATATCTTTTGAGATGTATAATGTTATCAAACCATGTATAGTTGTTCACAAGCAAACATCCTACGTTTTGACCTGATAGGAACAGTGGACTGGACACATCAAGTACAAGTCAGCCTTTTGTCTTCCTTACAAATAAACAATGTTTGGATATATACCATTATAGCATTCCAGCAAAGTACTTCAACCACAGACAGAAAATTCTGATCATGTTTAATCATTCTTCATTGTTGAGGTCAAATGTTCACAACAGAATTTGCAATAAAAATCTATTTGTACATATACAATTTGTACCATGCACGACATACTCAAAACTTTTCAAATTAATTTGGACATATAATGTGTACAACGAATGTTCACTCAATGTACTCACGCCAACACTACATAGACTTACGTCAAGTAATGTCCAAGCAGTGCCATTATGCGACATTCCTATACCGACGCATACACCTTACATCTTAACACACACGTACACAACCGCCGACGACAGCGTAACCATCTTGTTAAATCCGCACACACAAAAGTACAGGAAAGACACTCTCCAATTTGCAGCACATTTATTGCCCGAAATCGCAGACTTCCTAGAAGCCTGATAATAACAGCACGATACATAATAACGCAGCAGTCACCGATCCGTCACACAATGATCGCAGGTTTTCTTACAGATATAAACCTCCATACTTCTTTGTTTTCAAGTGAAAATATAATAGAGTTAATTTCAGATGTTTGTAAATTTATCTTTTGTTATTAGTAAAAATGAAATATAAGCCAATAGTTAAATTTCAATGCAACGAAATTGAACAAACCCAATAACTCACAACAACGGAATTCAAATATCCCCAAGTATACCATTTAACAAAGCTAGGGAGATCTGAATGATTTAAAATGTGTTAATTCTGCTAAAGCCGTGGATAGGTATGTTTATGTTTACCTATTGACAAAGAACCAGTTAGTTTTACACCTGTAGGGACACAATGTTCAATAATAACGTATATTTTGTCCTACATCATCATCGTCACTTTTTGTAAACCCAATCATTCAGTCTTAATACATCATATCACTAAAATTTTGACCCTATTATTAATCCCAGCGAACTGGTGGTTAACAAACGGAAGCAAGTTGCTTAGCAATGCCAAGTTCCACGTACGATTAGTCGTCTTTGTCCACTCCACTCGGGATATGTTAGCGGTGTTTTACATCCACAAGGACTTAACTACACCAAAAGGGATAATATATATTGTAAGGCTCCAAAGTCCACCCTCAATACCACAATAATTGTTTGTTGTAGGAATGCAGATCAGCCCATCAGTTCCTGATACAGTCTTTGTCCCCAGTTAGACACAACACTGAGTCACGGGTGCAGCGTACTCCACATTTTCAATATAAGCATTCACGTATTGTCCTCGTCGAGTCTCGACTACACCAGTGTAAGCGCGATAGGGCTGGTTGATGACAGTGCTGCCGGGGCACGTAGCGGGGGACACATTGACAGCAGTTCACCGGTCGGGTAGTAAGTAAGGCACTACCTAGCTGTACCCAAACAGACACACGACGACGCCGAGGAGTCTGTATCACAGAACTATATGTGTTTACTTGTACAGACAAGCAGTGCACTGATAAAGCAGCTACACTGCCTGATTCACGGCAGCATAGACTGCATTGTGTTCTAAAGCCCAGCGATGTGCAAACTCAGTGTGGACAGCATGTGTGTGGCCAGCCCATAAACCGAGACTAAACCACGGACTATTGTCACCAGCCGAGCTGTGGTGAACAGGTGTCAGCACCAGTCTGCGATGTAGTTAAAGTCTGCGAATAATAACTGATCCTCGTGCTTCAGTGGGCATCGCTCCTTGGCTGGAGTCAGAATGGCCTTCTCTTGAGTGAACTCATCATCAAAGTTACTTACATCCTCTGAATGTTTCTGAAATGGAAGGAAAAATAATTTCATTGTATGTAAAATATTTAAAACGGTGTACGGGTCGTCTGCTCAGCCAACAAAACTGATTAACAATCATCATGCTTACCATGTGTAACCAATAATATTTTACACATGAAATTATTTTCACATATTAAACAAAGTCACCAATGACTTCCTAGGAGTTGTATATATCATTGGCTGATCATTATATACCAGAATAGGTAACGGACACACCAAACTGATTGTTTCCAATATAATTACAATGTTGGCAGAGATAACATGTGTATCATACGACAGAGCTATAACAAACACGATCTGTTGATTTTTTGTATCAATGAACAAATTTTACTGAATAGTAGCGATAGAGAAAAAGTATGCAAAGCTATTTTGATATGACGAGTCCTCACGTTGTTAGATATAAACCAAGTCTACATGAGAGGTAGTAGTACATTCTACCATGCTGCCTTACTTCTATGTCGACGTGTTAATCACGACTGGTACTCGGGACAACTAGACTCAAACATCCTACTGTTACACACGTCAAGCGGACTGGCTTATCGTTATATTACTGGATGAATATTCAACCGAGTTTCACAAGTTAAACTTCATGTATGTACACCAGTCATCTGAGTTATCACAGGAAAACAGATAAATCTGATAGAAACGCATTTAGAAACAAACCCCTGTGCTTAATCAACATCAACAAAGTTAATGTACCAGTGTATGGACAACTTTTTAAAGTAGTCATACGTATTGGACAAGTTTCAAATCAAATATAAATCACACTTTCTTAAGTTTTCCTGGAATGACTTGACAGGAGTAGTGAAATGAGAGTATATCTTGTTGAGTAACAATGAGTATTCATGGAGTTATAACCAAAAGCCAGTCAGTGACAAAAGTGGGACCAACAGTCAATGTTTATCTACCAGTTATATAACAGGAACTGTTAAGGGAATTACTGTTCTAATATTTCCTTACAGAACAGGAGGTGCATTAAGTTACTGATGATTGCTGTTATTCAAATAAAATCGGAAGCATTCTTAACGATTTCACTGAAAACGTTTCTGCACTAAAATCAATCTCATGAAACAGTTGCAGAGGAGTATTTCCTCAGCATAAGTGAGGAGGGTCATGGAATCTTGCATTCCAAAATACCCAAATATAAACTTACATCTAAAACAAGAAATATTCTAATACATGAGCAAAAATCTGCAATACACAATGCCATGCGAATCTTAACAACAGAATCTGAACTAGGCCGGAATCATTCTACCCATTCACAAGTTAGGCCTTGACCTCGCTAAACATCACAAAAGGTATACCCTTTCAAATGGTGCATGGGGAAATTACAAGGATATTAGATGTTCTACAGCGCTCAGCTTACGTTATTGGGATAAACACAAACACTGCAAGGGAGACAACTCAAATACGTTTTGGATATCCACAAACTCGACACGCCATGCGGATGAACTTACAACGCTGTCTGGTTGTACTTTGTGTTTTAGGTCCAGGCTTACAGGCCTTGAGTTGAGCGACTAAAAATTAACAAATTAAACATCTATTCCAAGGTCAAGTATACCCCCAGGTGGCATGCCCATCTTCCATTTATTCAGAAACTTTCAACCATCCTATTTTGTCAATGATGACAATGTGTTTTTAAAGAATGCAATAATTTCTTTCAACATTGAATATAAGACAGCATGCTCTGACAAATAAACGCACGGGAGACAACTGCAGCACAGAAACCAAAACAGAGGAAGCGGGATTCCAAAACAAAATGATTTCTATTCTGATGGTATTTTTAACTCTTCATGTACAGGGTACTGATAACGTTAAATTGTGTCCAAAAAATATTAGAAACAAGACATAGCTCCACAATAGACAAATCAGGATATTATAGTACTGTATAGATGTACAACCATGATTATGACCACAATAAACGACAATGAAATATATCGAAATCCAACAGCTTGAGGATAAATTTCACAACAACTAGACTATACGTCTTCATTCATTAAACTGTTGTTCTAGAATTTGGTATAAATCTTTTGAGAGAAGGAGGTCTAGTGGTTTGACTAACTGCTGAAGATGAATGTAAGGTGTCAGTTGATGCTATTAATAATGGGACGCTGTGGAGGGTATAGATCTCTGTGCTATATGTGGCTCACGTCCAATTCTCACACACGGGGACAAAGACATCTTGCATATATACAAATACAAATATAGCCAGTCGCACCTATACAGCTTGCAGGACGTAAATATGAATGAGTTTGTAGTCCTTGTATAAGCCAAGTGACAGTTATGAATGATTTGAGGGAGAAATCCTGTACTATACTTACTACTGTAGGGGAAAAAGGGGCCTTGACTTTCTTCATCAGCAAGTCGTCCCATACCAAGTTCTGTCAAGAAGAAAATAGCAGTTTGTGTTTCATATTTGCAGCTTCAATTCCTTTTTTTTTTTATAATGCATTTTCCCCAAAATTTTACTTCAGGATACATCCATGATAGTAAATTTTCATTTCTTATTTCATTTGATAAAAGTGAAAATAAATTGATTGCGAAAATTTTTGATTTACAAGAGATGTGATATACGTACCCTGAAGAAAGCCTGTTTCTTGACATCCTCTGCATCTCGTTCACTAGATCCTAATCTCCTATCTGGGTTCCTCCGCAGTAACTACAATAATTTCAATGAATTATCTAGAATACATTAACAGAAATTATGCACGTTCACAAACTGAAGTCACATTTGGCTTATAAATATAGCATTTCACTGATATTTGTTATTATGTCCTATACTTTAACACACATTTTCCTTGATCCAAATTATGAAATATGATGCATCTCTAGAATTCACTTTAAATAGTCAATGCTATACACTACACAACATATATAAATGTTTTCTCTACACCGTATACCTGGTAAGCAGATATCTGTGAAAACGCTCTCCCTGTCACAGGAAATCGAAAACCTACCCTCCTCATTATTGCGATGGCCTCTGTTGACAAGAACCTTGGGTAGCGGACCTCCTCATTGACAATGCTGTCAAAAACCTCCTCTTCATCGTCTCCCGGGAATGGTGACTGTGCAAGCAGAAAAAAATGAAAAATAATGTCATTTGTCAGTGTGACAAAACGTTAGGCGGTCTCCTGAATACTATTATTGATACTAACATCAATTTGAGATGACGTATTACCTTGGTATGGTGAATACCTGATAAAAGTGTCGATTTTATAACCTCTTACATTTTATCCTAGCCCAATGCCATACAGAGACATGCACCATAGTTAAAAAAAGCTGAACTTCAATAGGTTAAAGTTCTACAGTAAGACTGCATCAAGGGTGTGTTTTGCTTTCATTAAGATCAGTTCTACTTGATCCCGTTTGAACAATTATCTTTTCAGGATTGAATAAATTAAAAATACAGCATTACAATCAAGCAAAGTTTTTAAAATTCATTTGCTCATTTTCGGAAACATTTCCCCCTAAAATTCAGTATTAAATTAATTAATAACCTTTATGTTACATCTGTTTTCTTCAGGTAATAGTTTTAGACTCTTCATGTTAATTCAGAATATTGAAAATGCCCAACATGAAATATTCAACTTGTTGTCTTAATAATCAGGCCTTCCACTAAAGGTCCTGGTTTAAACAACCAAAAGAACTTACCTCCCCGACCAGCATTTCGAATATGAGGACACCTAGCCCCCACCAGTCGACAGAGCGTGTGTAGGAGGTTTCGGTGAGCACTTCTGGGGCGAGGAACTCGGGTGTACCACAAAATGTACTTGTCCTGTCCCCGTACGCCATACCCTCCTTACACAAGCCAAAGTCGGCAATTTTCAGGTAGCCATCCTGGTCCAACAGTAAGTTATCTAGCTTTAAGTCCCTGAAATACAAAAACACATTGTTTAAAGTCTAGCTATGACTCCCTGAAATACAAAAAACCCATTGTTTTAAGGCTTGTTTTTTTATGGTTTTGATAAATAGTGGTGGATAATATAATTTGGTTTTATTGGTATTTCAAATTTTGGTGGATCAATGTGTAAGGTAAGGATTGGAGTTTGTAAGCTAAAGTCATTCTAACAGAAGTCTGGAAATTGTCACAACATTTAACATGTTGAAATAGGACTATTTGGCTCAGTGGACAGTTATGCTGGAATGATATCCTATGGTTCAGAGAGTGGTAAAGCTGAAATAGGAAAATTTGGCAAAAAAGAGAAACTTAAGTTGAAAATTTGATGTACAAGACATATGCACTGCTTTTTTTCATTTAGGTTCTTGATTCAATGGCTACAGGGACTTTTTGCTAGTCTTCAATACCAGTACAAAGTCACTGTAGCAATCAAATGCACAGCCGCTAACAAACAACTTCCTTTGATTTTCTAAATCTCTTGGGATTCAACTTTTTAAAAGGTTTTTTCAGTAAAGTTGTTTTAGTTTTCAAATAAGTCTAATAAATTTCCAACTGATGACACTAGGATTTTAATCAAGGGATAGCAAAGGTGTGAAACTATACAAAAAATATGCTGTATTACAAAATAACCATCAACTAATATTATTGTGAAATTGTTAATCACTTGTTGCTGATAATATATCAGATTTTCTTCAATAAATGTATATTCATATTTCATTTTAAATCTTCTAACACATGGTGATGTATTAAACCTATAAAGACCTGTTCTCCTGAGATCAGTTTTATAAGTCTTCTATTGGATGGTACCCTTACCAAAAGGACCATTATACAACAGTAGACTATTTTCCCAGATCACTTAATAGGCAACTTCCCATGAAATATAAAGCCATATAGATATGTTTTTGCTTGAACCACTTACCTGTACACTATATTATGCTCATGTAAGTATTGCAGACCTAGGACGACACAACCAGCGTAGAAGACAGTACGGGGCTCGGTGAAAACGTCACTGTGGATATGCATCATGAGATCTCCACCACACGCATACTCCATCACAAATATCACATGGTCCTGTAAATCATAGGTGTGTAACATCATAGTGTGTTTCTACTCTAGTTACTCCTTGTTGTATAGATGTGTTATGGGCGATGTTCAGTGAAGGACACATTAATGACACGCAAGATCTGATAATGGTCAGAACAATATTTTTGTTATACATTATTGATCCTGTGACAAAAGGATCTTAAATTTGGATTTTCATTTGTATTTCAGATGAGACCATCAAACTCATCCCGAAAGATTTCTTTTGAGCTGAACAGTTTTGCTAAAATGTAACATTTTCGGGTATAAATCCTGGCGGACCTGCAAATGTCTATGCAGGCCTTGCAAGGCATTGTCAAGGCTCGCCTGAGAGTAGCATCAGATTACTGGGTCCAACCTTATTTCTTAAACAACAACTCTGGTCCACCTGGTTCAACCGTTTGGACTACGATAAATGAAAATGGCCCTGGTTCATAACCCTCAGTAACTCGAGTTCCTATGCATATTTCTATCTTTTACCACTTAGACACATCTTACAGATGCTCTTTACTGATCAAAAACATGGCTGCTGTCAGTAATCTTTGGCAGTTATAAATGATGTACTAAATCCATGATGTTTTTCTGTTGAGGAACCATGGTCTCTGCATGATATAATGCCGGAGTTAAACAACACTAAGACAGTATAATTATATGCCTGCAGAATACTTTTTACATTTTAAATTTGATCTTTATAAAACAGATGGCATTCATTTATATAATCATCATCAACTATATATATATATATATGAATGAAAACTTCTATTCTTCTGGTTTTTATCAGACATACATGTTTAAAACTATATGTTCTAAACAACTTACCTCAGTTTGAAAGCACGCAAATAAATTAACCAGCAAAGGATGCCTCATGGCATTGATGACCTCAAAAATACGTTTCTCCGACATCAAACTTTCCACTTCGTCCCGTGCCATGATTTCACCTTTCTTTAAAGCTTTCAGAGCAAAGTACTCATTTGAATGTTTATATTCAGCTAATATCACCTGTAAAAGGAAACATAGACATAGACATTGTGTAGTACAGTTTACTGAAACTTTTCCATTTAAACCTGTCAGATATACATACCAGCCACTTCTACTATTTACTTAAGGAAATGTGAAAGTGAGCCAAATCAGAGGGCTGAGAAACAGAACTATGATCTGAACTTTGACCCTTTAGAAACAGAACTATGATCTGAACTTTGACCCTTTAGAAACAGAACTATGATCTGAACTTTGACCCTTGACTTTAAAAATATACAACCTTGTTACACAACAGTTTCCTTCTTACAGAAACATTCAGCCATTTAGGAGATAAAGTCCGGTCGAGCTTTACAATGATTTGAAACTTTGACCTTGTCCTTTTTGGTACAGAAATATGAGCACTATGGGATACACATTATGGCCATAATAAATATATATATGAAGTTTCTGTGAGTAACTGTCCTCACTGAAAGAGCAGATTTTATCGTACCTTTCCAAAATGACCTCTGCCAAGGACACTTATCGGCCGGAAGTCATCAAATCTACAATACTGGTTGGAGAAGCTGCGAAGATAAAACAAGACATTTTCGTGATATGCTACGGTTGATTTTATTCCAATGACTCCAGTAAAATGTCACTCTGCAGAGCCTCATGTCCACATCATAACAACATATTAACTTTTCCCAGTATATAACTCCCATCCAGTCCTGGTTCAATTGGAATTTCAGGTTTTAACTAAATTCTCTATTTTACCATGCTACATCATAGCAACCTATGCAGCCTCCTTTGTAGTTTAAAATTTCACGTTATTTAAACAGTACAGACAAACTAGTTGGTGCAGTGACAATATGGCCGGCCAGTAATATTTTATATGAAGTTTATAGCGGAACCTCTTTAAATAGCATTTGATCATCTGAAAAGTACACTTCCAGATGCTTATTAAGAAAATGATTTACTTTTGAGTGACAATTCTATTAATCCAATACAGTATTGTTCAAGACATATTTCAATAAACCCGACTTGTCAGGATAAGCCAGGTCTACTGTACACAGTCAAATGAACACTTACTCGGGCTCTGGCACAGGGGCCATTTTTTTAACAGAAGGTTTCTTGGGCGTTTCCTGCAGTACTTGAGGTGGAGGGGCGTCTGGGAGGGGAGGGGGCGGCTGTGAGCTACGATAGGAGGGCACCCTCTGGGGCTGACTGGACTCCGACGCATCCCCATCCAGGTTTATCACATTGGCTGGGTTATCTTCGGGAAGGAAATTAAACGATGATAAAGCCTCCTGAAAAACAAAGTTTAAGATTTAAGAAGATTTTTAGAGAAATCTATTCATGTTTAAGTGATATATTTGAGCATTAAAGCACAGGTGCTCGGGTTCTGGAATATATGTAAAATTATTTGTTTACGCATCACACCCCCTTATACTAATAAATCATCTGGTTATGATGTTAAATCTGTTCCTGGAATTGACGAAAGGGGTGGAGTAATTGTTATTTATTGTAAAGAAACCATTTGGCAAATAGTTTCCATCAAAAAAGTGGTACGGAAACAAATAACATTATATTATATTCCAGAACCCGAGCCCCTGTGCGTTAAACTTCATGCTGTTACAGGGATTTCAATAGACCCTTTAGAGCAAGTTTTTGACACCTGAACATGAGTTTTGACTCTCCAAAATTAAGCAAAATGTTGTATGACTTCTGAAATTGCTAAATGTTACGGGTCAACTGAAAGCCCTGTGTTCAGAGTTTTCAAACAAATGAAATAACGCATGTTAGGATGATCTGTCTGTAATCTGTTACATGATAATCAGATCATACCTCTTCACAGACTGTAAATTTTTACTTTTAAGTAAGTTTGTGGATCATTTGAAACACACACACACACACATAGTATTGTCCAGCCAATCTAGAGATCTCCAAAATTATGATTGTTACATCACAAGTCATGGACATTTGATCACCACACCAGGGTAATGGTCTCAACAGAAATTGCTCATCTATTAGGAGTGCAATCTGAATGTCAGTGTTGTTATATGAGGTTACAGAACTGTAAAGTATCTGTAATACTACTTAATACTGCTGCACTATTAGATCCTAAATCAACAAGAATCTTCCATGACACATACTTCGATGAATAATACACATATGTTCAACAGCAATGATAGATCAGATGTATGTAGAATAGGTCCTTTTCCTCCCATTCATGTAACATAATCATTTTATAATACTCACAATTACATACCTAAATTCCAACAAAACAATGCTACAGGTAGCTTAATCAAACAAATGAAACCAGAATCATATACTATAAATATCCTGGAACATTTTCGCCCTTCGACCGTAAAATCCATGTTTACCCAATATCAAATTTGCCTTTCACATTTAATTTCTATGTATATTATGATGTTTACAAATGCTTGCTGTAATGATATATTATTCGCCCTCTGAAAAGGTAAAAAAATCCTGGTATGCAGTATATTTTCTGTTAAGACATTTGATATCCTTGCTGACAATCCCGTAAACAGGCCTTACCTGGATATCTTTCTGTTGCTGCTGTGGGGGTGTTGCATATTGTGGGGTGGGGATGTCCCTGGTCGGGGACACTGGGGAAGGAGATTTCTCTGGTAGTCTTAGGGGTCGGTCCTCAGGGGACAATGGCTCAAAGTTTATCTGATGAATAGGTGGCCCTCGGTCTGAGGAAACTATACCTGGAAAGTACAACAAAATTTCTGAATATAATAATGACTTCATATTTTAAAACATAATGTTTAAATTTGCTTTCCCTGACCATAATCTTTATCTACCTGTAGCCGTGAAAGGCCCTTGAGTTCACCTGGCTACGCCATTACCTACCTGGAGAACTGATAGATCTGAGAATTCATCTGGCTATGTCATTACCTACCTGGAGAACTGATAGATCTGAGAATTCACCTGGCTGTGCCATTACCTACCTGGAGAACTGATAGATCTGAGAGTTCACCTGGCTATGTCGTTACCTACCTGGAGAACTGAAAGGTCCAAGAATTAACCTGGCTGTGCCATGACCTACCTGGAGAGGCGATGGGCCCCGGAGGACTGAGGACATTGGAGTTATCTGAACACTGGGTTGGAATGGGTAAAGCTCTCTTCATTAATCGTCCCCACGTGGCTACGTTGATATTCATCTGACCCGGTCGTGGGAAATTCTTCCCTGAAATTTCAATGAAAATTATTTGTTTAATTCATGTCTGATGATGACAAACACATTACCTCATAAATATTAAAAGACTGGCATCATTATGAAGTTAGACAAAAGACATGATTTTTTATAATGAATTTAACATTAATTGTATTATGCGGGTAAACCTGGATTATACACCTTGTGATATTGTTTATTATATTGTTTATTATACTGGTTAAATGGTCTTGTTCTGTATACCAGCGTAATGAGTGAGGAGTATTGGACCTAATGACAAGCACTGTGAAGGCTGACTAATCAACTTTCGAAGAAAAATAACCTTTATTGCTACACAGTAACTTTTAAACATATAGTATGCCATTTTAATGAAATTTTTCGTCAGACTTGATCAAATTCATTTCAGACACATCAACATAAATTCAGTAAGTTGTTCCATCAAAGAAATTAATGAATTAAACACTAAAAGTAAAACCAATCTCATTAGTCAAAGTTTCACAATATGTTAATGATTGTGTTCTCGTAGATCATCTACACTCGACCTATATGTATGGAGACACCAGATTACCAAGACCCTCTGTCTGTAGACCAACACACATAACCAGAGCTTGCAGTAACTGTTGTATACAACCAGGTAATATGATTCTACCCTAGGAGATAAAACTTTGCTACCATCAGTAGAAGGATTATAATAGAAACACCTTAACCCTTCCACCCTCAACACCAGGAAAAGAGCTTCTTAACCAGATGGAGAAAAAAAAATCAACAATCACATCCAATTTTGGTTGGTTAGCGCAGCTCCTGGTAGAACTGGAAATGCTGTATTCTTACAAATAGGTTTGAGGCGTCATTATGAGTCGAATGACAGGTCATTGCATTAGCATTCAGGCAAGCATTTCACAGCGAGTCTACATTTATTTGTCCAGTTTTTGATTCTGTAGATTTACTACTGTAGATAATACATCAGGTTTCTCTAGGATATACACGACATCTGTCTACAGATCGGCCAGGGCGTTTGTCTTTGGCTACGATTCGTGCCGCAGCAGTAAGGACTGACAAGCAAAGTAGAAATCTGATTAAGGTAGTAATCTGTTTAATTCAAACGTATGATCATTACTTGTAATGCTAATGAAATTCCAGGAAGGACTGAATTCTGATTACAGGAATAATTTGGGATCATGTTAAGATAAATTCAGGTTTTTATAACGATGACAAACAAATCCTGCGACATTTATCACATATTGCCTCTGTTACCTTAATTTTCTGTACTCGTACAATTCTTAGTTTGTAAAATAAACAAATATTTGACCATTTCTCTTTTTATTCGCCATTTTACATAACATTAGAATACTGTAAATCACTTGAATATTGAAGTTTTGAATTTGGTAATGTTAAATTGATATGGTATCTAAAGGTTATTGAATTATTTTTGCAACAAAAATATTTCCAACTACATTTCAATGTAAGTTCTATGCCTCCAAATTTCAGTGATTTCCAGTACTCGCATATGATATTATCTGTGAGAAATTAAATCATCCTGCTAGTCGTGTTTCACTACATTTTTCTGTACATCATAATAGTTGCCGATTAAAATTATTTCATTAACATTAATTCGTGAATTAATAAATTTCCGGTAACTGTAAGAGTATGACAATGGAGAAAATCGTTAGTGAGAGTGTAGCCTAAAAAGGCGGGGAAAAAAATGGGTTAAGTTTTCTGTAGACTCAAAGATATAAGTACATTACTATACATCAGAAAAATATACAAGATAACATGGATATACTTGCTCATCATATTATTATCTGGAAAAAAAATTGAATTTCCAAATTATAATGTCATATTCAAATGAGCTCAACAAAATATTCCACACTCAATGTAAATATATACTTCAGTTATGTAATGACTTGAAAAATGAGTAATTCATTCTGAAAATTGCACACCATTATGACGGCACTGTATATCTCTGTAGTACCTATATATTTTGTTCATAAATAAGAGTCCAACCTCTTGTTTAACTGCATCCAGTCCTTGAAAAGTGAAAATAGGATGTTATTTGTTCTGTGTTTATACCAACACAATTATTGGTTGCAGGACTTTTTAGGTAGTAAGGACTTTCTTAAATAACTCCCGGTAATGTTGCAGAAAAAAAAAGAGTCAGTATTACAGGAAATTGTACCAAACACAGGGCTTACCAAAGAGCCAGGGAGATCCCTCCTAGTATTAACCCTTTCACCCCTATGTAACTTTAGTAGACTCTACCATGCATTGATATGGATGAGTCCATTATGGTTTACAGTGTTGAAACGGTTAATTGTTTTGAAAACATTTCTGCACGTCTTTTTTCTGATCAATAAATAGGTAGGATGCAGTTTGTCTCTGCATACCCAGATTTAAATACAGATTATTTCACGTAAGTCAAAAGTATTACAAGCGTGTGCCATATGTTTGAAAGACATTTTTACAGCCTTTATCTGCCCAAGACCTGTATTTTGTTATCTTGATTTGACATATTAAAGAGAGACCTTTGAAGAGCATTGATGGTAGTGTGATCGGAGGCAGAGTAGACATTTCCTATATGCTAGATTAACCAGCAAACTCACCTTTGTGTTTTGGAAAGATCTTTCTCTGTCTTTGTAGTTTAGGTTTTCTGGATAATGATGGGTTCAAAAAGGTTATCTGCAAAATCAAGCAAAACAACATTAAACAAGCAATTCGGATTGATGTGTCTCGCCTGTGCCCTGCTTTGACCAACAATGCGCATGTCAAGTTTGGTTGGTCTAGCACTTATAGTTTCAGAGAAACTAACTTAAACCCAAAAACTCAATGTTGATGGAGATGACAAAGGTAATAGACCATGAAAGGTAGGCCGCATCCAGCATTTGATGCATGGGCCGAGATGTACTACCTAAGATGCATCTATGGTCCAAGTTTGGTTGGTCTAGCACTTCTACTTTCAGTGAAACTATAACATAAATGCAACAAGAGGCCCAATGGGCCTGCATCGCTCACCTGGTATAAAACTCACGCTTGTAACCTTAAAAGTGATCTAAAATAAAGCTACAGGCAAAATACCAGTATTTATGATTAAAATTCGTTCAAAAGACCCGGTCATTTTTTTTTTTAACATTTCACCACTGTGATTGAAAGTCGAACAAAGTCATTATGTTGAACACATTATATAGGCTTTCATCTCAGGATGCAACTTGCAAAGTATAAACATCCTGGGACCCATGGTTATTCATAAGAGGTTGTTTAAAGATTTTAAACAAATTTGACCCCTGTGACCTTGAATATAAGTCAAAGTCATTCACTTTAACAAACATAGTAGTCCTTGATCCCAGCATATGCTACTAACTAAATATCAACATCCTGAGCCTTTTGGTTATTCAGAACAAGTT